TCCCAGCGAAGAACCTACAAAAAAAAAGTTCAAAGCATTGAAATGAAAAACAACAAAGAAAGTTACTTATCATTACAATCAAGTCCAAAGCACCATTTCTAGCGAAGAACAAATACAAGAAAGTCCAAAGCACCAAATCTGGCAAAAAACAAATACAAAAAAAGTCCAAAGCACCAAACCTGGTGAAGAATAAATACAAGAAAGACCAAAACACAAAACCCGGTGAAGAACGAATACAAGAAAGTCCAAATCACCAAACCTAGTGAAGAACCTACAAAAAAAAAAGTTCAAAGCATTGAAGTAGAAAACAACAAAGAAAGTTACTTATTACTACATTTAAGTCCAAAGCATAATTCCTGGCGAAGAACAAACACAAGAAAGTCCAAAACACCAAACCCAGTAAAGAATAAATACAAGAAAGACCAAAAACCAAACCTGGCGAAGAACGAATACAAAATCACCAAACCCGGCAAAGAACCTACAAAAAAAAAATGTTAGTTCAAAGCATTGAAATGAAAAACAACAAAGAAAGTTATTTATCACTACAGTCAAGTTCAAAGTACCCTTCTCAGTGAAAAATAAACACAAGAAAGTTCAAAACACCAAACTGGCGAAGAACGAACACAAGAAAGTCCAAATCACCAAACCCAGCAAACAACCTACAAAAAAAAAAAAAAAGTTCAAAGTATTGAAGTAAAAAACAACAAAGAAAGTTACTTATTACTATAGTCAAGTCCAAAGCATGATTCCTGGCAAAGAACAAATATAAAAAAATCCAAAACACCAAACCCGGCAAAGAATAAATACAAGAAAGCCCAAAACACCAAACCCGGTGAAGAATAAACACAAGATCACCAAATTCAGCAAAGAACCTACAAAAAAAAAAAGGTAGTTCAAAGCATTGAACTGAAAAACAACAAAGAAAGTTACTTATCACTACAGTCAAGTCTAAAGCACTCTTCCTGGCGAAAAACAAATATAAAAAAGTCCAAAGCACCAAGCCCGGTGAAGAACAAACACAAGAAAGTCCAAAGCACCAAACCCGGTGAAGAACAAATACAAGAAAGTCCAAAGTACCAAACCTGGTGAAGAACAAACGCAAAAAAGTTCAAAGTACCAAACCCAGTGAAGAGCAAACACAAGAAAGTCCAAAGCATCAAACCCGGCAAAGAATAAACACAAGAAAGTCCGAAGCACCAAACCTGGCAAAGAATGAACACAAGATAGAAGAGAAAGTCTGAAGCACCATTCCCGGCAAAGAGAAAGCCAAATCACCATTTCCGGAGAAGTACAAACCTACAAAAGAATGTTAGTAAAAGAATTAAAAAATAGAAAAAAAAAAACAAGGAAAGCTACTTATTATAACAAACAAATAAAGTTAATTTTTAAGGTTCTTTTATAGTTAGTGCTAAAGTTTAAAGTTTAGTTTAGTTTAGTTTGTTAAAAATGTGATTTAATAGATTATCAATGGTACTTAACTGTGAAATTTTTAATTGTCAGGATTTTTTATTGTTAGGATTTTTTGTTGGGATTTTTTTGTCAGGATTCTGACCTTTCGGGATTCTGTTTGTTGGGATTTTGACCCAAACCCCATACAGATGACACAATTAATTGATTAATACAATAACGATAATATAGTAATAATAAATAAAGTTCTTTTTTAACTGATTTATTTCTTTTTTCGCTTACAAATTTAACCAAATCGGTACATTGTCTATGCTCTTCGATGCAACATTTTCCTTATATTTATGGAGACTACAAAAATTCGTGAAGCAGTAAAGAGAAACTGGTGAAATTGTTCTTTTAAAAATTTTAAAATTTTATATTTATGAAAAGCGAAATAAATTTACTGGAATTTTTTAAGCGAAGAATTTTTTTTTAAATAGCTTTTTTTTTTTTCTTTTTTTTTAAGCGAACATAATTTTTTCTTTTAAATAAAGTTTTTTTTTTTGATATATATATATACATATAAAATTTTTTTTTCCCTTAAAAAAATACTTATTTTAGATACATATCTGGGATGATTTACCAGAGCCTTTAAAGTTGGTACTTCTTAAATCATACATATATATATTAAAAATTTTTAATGAATTGCCTTTATATGAAACTGCTAAAAACTTTAAAATGCTGCAATTTGAATTGGATGGATTTGTGAATGTCAGTAATAAAGAAATGGCACAAGAATAGTTTTATGCCTTTGAATTGCACTTAAAGACCACAATGCCACAAACCAAAGGTTTCAATATAAAGAGAAGTCATATACTCTTTCGAGAAAAGTAGTATTGTATTCATAGTAATAAAGTTGAAAAAAACAAAGCAATCATGAAACTAAGAATTCATAGTCGTTTAGGGCTCAGAATATAAAATGCAATGCAAGCATTCATTTGTGGTTAGAAAGATGGTGTCTTGAACTTGATCATCTGTTGGAAATTAATATTAAATTTATCTATAACTATATAATTGATTTAGCCAAATCATTAAGTATTAGACATGTGAATAATGATATGTGAGAAAAATATTTAAAACTGTTTAATGATAGACATTCTCCTGCATCAGCACTTTACTCTTATGAAGATAAGCTTCATCTTTATGCTGTAAATGATAGTGATTTACTTGATTTACTTGCAGACCAATCTACCAATTCAGACTATATTATGTCTCTAAATTATTTTATCACTATCACAAAACTACATTAGGAGATTATAATGGTGTAGAAATGTTTAATTGTCTAAAATAATTAATAAATAGATACAATAATTCTAGAAATAGTAAAGTGGTATTACAAGAATATAATACACATACTGGCAAAGCATTTATTCTTTGTATTGTAACTAGGCTAATATGTCAAGCACATGAGAAGATTTAACAAGCAGGCAAATTATGCTACATTGATTTGTCTGCATCATTTGATCTGCTTAATACCTCTATTACCTTACTTTATACAAGTTATACTATTGGTGCTCTTCCTCTTGGATTACTGGTAATTTTT